GTTGCCAGGCTGGAGTGCAGTGGCACGGTCTCGGTTTACTGCAATCTCCACCTCTAGGGTTCAAGTGATTCTCCTGCCTCAGCCTCCCGATTAGATGGGATTACAAGCACCCGCCACCACATGCAGCTATTTTTTGTATTTTTAGTAGAGATGGAGTTTCACCATGTTGGCCAGGCTGGTCTCGAATTCCTGACCTCGTAATCTGTCTGCCTTGACCTCCCAAAGTGCTGGGATTACAAGCCTGAGCCACTGCACCTGGCCTCAGTCTATTCTTTTTAAAGCTTGCAACTTGGAGACTTCATCTGCATGATAAAATGATAAAACCTAGGTCTCCCCAATCCCTTATCATAACCCAGACATTCCTCATTTCTTTCTACTGATAATAACTCACTCAATTACATGCCAATCAGAATTTCAGTCTTGCTCTATTGCCCAAGCTGGAGTGCAATGGTGCGACCTTGGCTCACTGCAATCTCTGCCTCCTGGGTTCAAGTGATTCTCCTGCCTCAGCCTCCCGAGTAGCTGGGATTACAGGGGCGCACCACCAGCCCCGGCTAATTTTTGTATTTTTAGTAGAGACAGGGTTTTGCCATGTTGGCTAGGCTGATCTGGAACTCCTGACCTCAAGTGATCCACCCACCTCAGCCTCCCAAAGTGCTGGGATTACAGGCGTGAGCCACCACGTCCGGCCAGAAAATTTTTAAACCTACCTAAGACCTAAAAGGCCCCCGCATTGTGGAACCAATATAAACCTCACATGTATTGATTGATGTATTATGTCTCCATAAAATGCATAAAAGCAAGCTGTACCCGGACTGTCTTAGGTACATGACATCAGGACTTCCTGAGGCTGTGTCATGGATGCATCCTTAACCTTAGCAAAATAAACTTTCTAAATTGACTGAAGCCTGTCTCAGATACTTTGGGTTCACCCACACTATAGAAACACAGTGGAAGAGGAACATTTTACCTCATTCCTATTAGAATTTGACAGATTAGATGAAATTTAAATAAGAATATGGGGAAAATGAACAATATGATCAATAAACATATACTGAACTCTTCTCTCCACACAGTACAGTATAGTGTGTAGTATAAATGACCAATAAGTCACAAAGAAAATCTCATAGTTCGGAAGAACAGAAATGAAGCTAAGAATTACCAGAGAAAGTTAAAACAACAACAACAACAACAACAAAAAGGCCAATACTCTGTCAAGTGACAACGGAACTGCCACTGCAAAACGGTAACAAGACAGTGAAAGAGAGCTTACCTAACCAACTCCATCTTGCTTCTAACCTCCAAGCTCTCCTCGTTCATTCCTGGACATAGGCTGAACTAGCTTTGCGAGGATCTTAGTTTATAGTTTAAAACAAAGATGATAACAGGCCTTTCCCAAGGCAAACCCCCTTCTTGCCTGGGGACTAGACTGCCTTTGTAGGAATAACAAATTAGTTAAAAGATTAGAAATTATGGTTTGGGAGTCACGCAGCTGGAGGTTACAAGATTCTGACCCTCCCTAAGTTGCTCTTTGGGATAACATCAGTATTGGAAAATCTAAGATCAGTGCTATAGATATTTGGCAGATGCTGCATTTGTTGGATCAGCTGGCACCACCCAGACTGATAAACTGGCTCATTGATAAACTGGCTTTGACCTTGTGGCCCCCACCCCGGAACTGACTCAGTGCAAGAAGACAGGTTCCACCCTCTATGATTTCATCTCCAACCCAACCAATCAGCACTCCTGACTCACTGGCCTCACCCTAACCCACCAAATCATCCTTAAAAACTGATCCCCTAATGCTCAGGGAGACAGATTTGAGTAACAATAAAACTCTTGTCTCCCGTACAACTGGCTCTGTGTGAATTATTCTTTCTCTATTGCAATTCCTGTCTTGATAAATTGGCTCTGTCTAGGCAACGGGCAAGGGGAACCCATTGGGCAGTTACAACAATGGCCTACTATCTTTTGCTCACCTTATATCCGGGACAAAATATTCAGCCTCTTTGATGGACCAGATCAAAACATAAACACACACCAAACATTCCCTGTGGGAGCAACTTTCCAGAGTATTACGTCAGTTGGGCTACCCACGCTCCTCCTACTCTTTGTAGTTCAAATCTCCTCCTGTATTTGCTGCTCACTTCTTGGAGTTCCAGATCCTTTCTCTTTGTTAGGCAGAGGAGCTTCTCTTTTCCACATTGGACTTCCAGGCCTTGCAGGACTCAGATGCTAATCTAACCACTTAGGAATATATTTTCTCAACAAAGTCATCTTTCAATTTAAGCCTTATTCTGACGCTAGCCATTAGGAAGAAGCATTTTTGTCCCTACCTTGTTACCAAAACAGAAGACATCGAAAGAAACCAAGGAGACTTTAAATTGTTTCCCACAACTCTGTTCCCTACATGTTAATGGATTTGGGACAGTATTCTCAAGCCATTTGGACCTCTGGATCTTGGTGCTTGTTGCAATTTAATTAAATCAGCTTAATGGGAAGAAATTTTTGTTTAGTGATAGTGAACAGCATAGGTTTTAGAGTTAGATTAGTTGGCTCTGATAATTTATAATTGACCTCAAGCCATCCATCTGTCTTGGCCTCCCAGCGTGCTGGGATTACAGGCCTGAGTCTCTATTCCTGGCCAATTATTTGTGTTTGCTTGGCACTTCATCAGGTTTTTCCAGGACACTGTTCTATAGCTCCAAAAATACAGATTATCTAATAAATAGATAATTTATACATTCACTTGTAACATTGTGATAACCAAATGAAAGATCATATGAAGTAGTTCCCAGTGCAATCCCTCATAAATGCAGTCCTCAAAAAATACTGGTTGTTTCCCTTCCTATCCATGTTACTCTATTGTTGTTGTTATTATTTATTTATTTATTTATTTGAGACAGAGTCTTGCTCTGTCGCCCAGGCTGGAGTGCGTGGTGCGATCTCGGCTCACTACAACTTCTGCCTCCCAGGTTCAACGGATTCTCTTGACTCAGCTTCCAGGGTAGCTGGGACTACAGGCATGCGCCACCATGCCTGGCTAATTTCTGTATTTTTAGTAGAGACAGGGTTTTGTCATGTTGGCCAGACTGGTCTCGAACTCCTACCCTCAAGCGATCCATCCGCCTCAGCCTCCCAAAGTGCTGGGATCATAGGCATGAACCACCAAGCCCAGCTAGTATTGTAATTATTTTTTAAAAGCCTATATTCCATACTAGAGTGTGAACATCATGATGGATGTGGCTTATTTCATTTATATATGTCATAAATACAGCACCTGCCACATACTCTAAATAAATAGATACTTTCTATGTTTAGCTATTGTTAGTACGTTTACTTAAACCAGGGCTAGTGATTTTTTGAACGATTCATTAATGTGAGTCTTCAACAATTATTGTGTTACTATTACTTGTATGGAGCTATCATAGACATTGCAGACAAAAATACTGGTGAGCAAAATAAGAGACACTGTCTCTACTACTAGTTTAAGAGGGGAGATAGATATTATCTCATAAAAGAATGTAAAATTGAATTGTGATCAGTGCTGTAAGAGAGGTGCGTTGTGAAATAATGATATGGTAGGTGAGATAAACGTTAGAATAAAAACAGCTCAGCAAGATCCTATCTCATTGATACATTTTCCATTGGTCTGTCATATCACTGTATTCCATAATAGTCTAATTCACTTTTTTGTAGTTTCTCTTAAGTTACAAAAACTCCTGGGACAATGCTTCTTTAAAATGAAACTCTTCCTAGGCAAGAAGTTTGGGTGTAGGGAAATGAAGAAGACTGCTAGTGGTTTTCTTACCCGTTGTCTATTAATTAATATTTGGTACTAGTTACTGTGTCAGAATGGTTTAGACACTTTCATTTTATTTCTTATTTTATTTTATTTTATTTTATTTTATTTCGAGACAGGGTCTTAATTTGTCAACCAGGCTGGAGTGCAGTGGTACAATGTCAGGTCACTGCAACCTCCGCTTCCCAGGTTCAAGCGATTCTCCTGCCTCAGCTTCCCAACTATCTGGGATGACAGGCATGAGCCACAGTGCCCGGCTAATTTTTATATTTTTAGTAGAGACGGGGTTCCACCATGTTGGTCTGGTTAGTCTCGAACTCCTGGCCTCAGGTGATTCGCTCGCCTCGGCCTCTCAAAGTTTTAGGAGTACAGGCGTGAGCAACCACGCCCGGCCGATACGTTCATTTTAGAAAGGCAAATGAGTCATAGAACAATTGGGTTCAGTGATGTTTGTAAAATAATGGAGGCTCAAATCCCTAGGTAGATGGGAAACAGTCTGAGCTCATTGGGCTAGTGAGCCAGGTGACCCCCAGTCAGGTATTGAACCTTGAACCCGGAGAACAAAGGTTTCATGAAATTACAGAGTGGTGATGTCGAAGAGAAAAAGCACTTTACAATTTTATCTATGCTGGGAGTTTTTCTAAATCATCTCACATCGAGTATCTATGGCCCCTCTCTATTTAGAATTTCGTTGTATGGTAACAGAAACTCCCGATTCTGTTTACAGCCCATTAAGGGAAGAATTGGGTACTACTTAATGAATCAGGGAAATCGTTAATTGGAAACTCCCGCTGAGGAACAACTGGTATAATGTCACGCCTGCCCTTTACGCGATCTTTCTCTTCCTGACTTACCTGTTCCTAAAGTAGTACTGATTTCCTACAGTCGACGACCTAGCTTGCAGCCGGGCTAACGTGGCCATGGTCTTTCGGCCTTGGGTTTACAACTGGTGTTACTACCGGTCTCCATGGTAACTGGGCTAAACCATAGCTCATTCCCGGGGTCCGACTTTTTGTTCACTGCTCTTTCCTCTCACGCTACTTCCACTTTAAGAGTACTAAAAAGAGAATTAAGAAATCTCTGTATAGCACAAAAAGTTTAATTTATTTGTCTCTGTCTCTATTGCGAGTAGGAAGAGGGGATTATAGGAACGGAAAGCAGTAGACGCGGAGAACTAATGGTTGCTCCGGGCATCCGGTTTCCGCCTCCTGTCGGCTTCCGGAAGCTCATCTCAAAATGCTGAACTGCTCTTGGAAGTCGCCGGTGCTGTAGTAGTTGGAGTCTGGTCACGGGCCTGAGCCTCGAGGCCAGGCTCCTGGGTGTCGTTAATGTTCGGGGCCGCCGGGCGCCAACCGATCGGAGCTCCAGCAGCCGGGAACAGCTGGTGAGGCTGGCGGCCCTGGGGAGGGGGAGGTGGAGGTCAGGGAAGGGTGTGATTGCCCGAGGCCACTCTGCTGGACCTGGAATGGAGGCGGGAGAGAGCTGTGATGGATGATCTGAAGACATGTAGGCCTTACTCTCACTCGTTCCTGGGATGCACGCAGTTTGAGGGAGCTCTTGGGTGTGTGCCAAAGATTTGTTAAAGAATACAGTAAATGTTTGCTGATTGCTTGTTTAACAATATTTTAGAAGTCAAGCTTCCTGTACTCCAGGAGCAATTTATCTCCTCATTGATTGTTGACAACACTAGGGACAGGAAGAATCTATCTTAATCTGGGCCTTATTCCCCACTCCTCTTTCAATATTTACCAGATTATATCAAATCTTTTGGAAGATACATTCCAGAAATGTAGAATTATGGAAGTTCAATAGTGGAAAACATATCACCCTCTTACCCCCTTTTTTAGAGAGAGGGGATAACCTACCTGTTTCCACCCTCTTGAACATTCTATTCAAGTTCAAGGGAGATGTATATGGGGATTTTCCAAGAACCTATAACTGTCAGGATTAAGTTTGGGGCTTGACTATGTCTATGGTATCATGTCACCAATGCCACGTTAGAATAATACATTGCTTTGACTTTTCAAAGTATTTCCACAAATTAATACACTTTATCCTATGACAGCCCTGTGATAGCAGAATATCACAAGCACAGAATATTCAAGTGCTGTGTCCAAAGTTGCCCTGTACATTTTAATCCTAGAGCTAGAATCCTGGTTTTGGGATTTCTAGTTGAACACTGTAATATCTGTCGTATTTTTCTCCCAAGCCCTTTTCCTCCAAACGTAACACAAGACAACCAGTGATACAAACAAGCAATTTTCCACTGAAAATCCTCTCAAACATAAAGTTTTGACCAACAAGTGAAAGAAATGTGGCTAAACGGTGCATGTTCATTCCTAGATTCTGCAAAAATTAGAACAGAAGGAATTTTAGTAGTCTGTGATCTCAAAGAATTACTTTTACATCATCTATCACTGAAAAGTTAAAAGAATACCTTATCCAAAATATTTTTAGTTGGGTGACATCATCCTATAGTTAATTTTATAGTTAATATAGATTTGATTATACTATTAGTAAATTATTACATTTTCCAGGAAGAAAAGCAGGGAGCGCTTTTTAAATGAACCAGTTTTTAATGGTATAACTAGCATAGAATGAAATGCACAATTCTTACATGCTTAATTTTACTAGTTTTGGCATTGTATATACTTAAGTAAACACCACACAAAACAAGATAATGGATTGGTCCATCACCCCACAGTTCCCTCTCAAGGATACCTGTCTTAATGTTTCACGGTTCATATTTCATCGTTCATTGTCTTGGTGAAGTCAGGGAGACAAAATATCCTATGTAGATTGGTCTGCTCTTCCTAGGGTGCTATCGATTTTAGGATAGGTGACTACATCAGAATATGATTGATTCTCTCAGCTTCTTCTACCTTCCAAATTATGGTTAGGTACTGAGAGAAACCTCCTTCAATTCTCTTTTAAAGGCTGTCTTGTCATACAACTCACCATTTCTTATGGCACCATAGTATAACAGAGTGGTAGCACTTAGTATTTTTTAATGAAATTCTAAAGTCATTCCTGTTTTGTCAGAATGAACATGTTCCAGAAAACTGGATCTTTATTTTCTAGTCTATCTGTACGACCATCCAGTCATTCCAGATTTCTTAATGGAATTTTCTTTTTCATTAATTGAACAGATATTTACTGTATAACATATATGTTTGATCTCAGTAGTAAATTCCAGTCCCACTGGGAATACTGCTACTAAGCAGTTAACTAGGTGCCAGGTTTTACAAATATGTGTCATCTCATGTAAATCTTTTGAGGTAGGTGTATCATTCTTTGCATTTTAGATAAGGTGACACAGAAGCAAAGATGGTTTAAGTAACTGGCCTAAGTATCATATTTGCAAGATGATTCCGGTATACCCCCCCAAAATTCTTAACCACTTTTATATGTTGCCTATGTGTCTGAATGAGATATAATATCTCAAGGAATATATAACCTAGCAGTTAGATACCCAAATTTGTTACCCAGTCTGGATTTTCTGACTTATTTAGCTCCCATCTTGACTTTTTCAACTTCTCCAATGTGGAGGTTGCTCTTTCAACTTTTAGGCACCAAATGGGTAAATGTAGATAATTTCTTTGTTCAACTATGGTATTCTATTTATTTTTTTAACTTTGTTATGTGGCTTTGCTTAAAAAAACAAAGCCATTAAAATAAACTATATTGACTCTGGACTTTTGTTTCTGCATTTTCATTCCTATTTGGTATTTTGATTGTATTGAAATCTGGAAAACTGCATAGTAAAATGTGTGCATTTTTTTGAATTACTTGTTTTTTGGAGTTTGTTTGTCTTGAACTTTGTTGCATACCAGCAGGTTTGAGTCAGGTTTTTGTTTCAACAATTAAGAATCAAAGCAATAAACAGTATGATTTTGTTCAAGTAATTCATTAAATATAGCTTCTTAGCATCCATATTTATGTCAAGCTGTAAGCCTTTACATTGTCTTTGATAATTTTTCCTTAACTTCACATTTACTTAGCTAAAAACTTGGAGTGTCTGGCTTGATAATGTAGCAGAAAATTTGGAATATGGATTGTCTAAAAGTTTTAGTCATTGTTTTTCTTTTGTTATTTGGTCAGTCATTTAGTCATTCATTGGTTTGCTCATCTGGCAGATTATTTTTTAAAATCTGTTATGTGTCAAGCAGTATGCTACTTGTAATTAATATTTAGTTGTCTTCATTCTCATTCCTGTTATAGGAATTCAGGTTATATGTTCAGTAAATTTTTATTGAACAGTTACCATATATTAATATAAACATTAAATAAGTCTCATTTCCTACCTGTTTGCCTAATACATTTGAATATATGCATATTGACAAGAGCTAGAATGAATTATTTATTAGATTCTAATTTTTTTTTTTTGTTTTAAACTATTTCATATAGGCAGCATTTTCAATAGTTTATCTTTTGAAAGTAATTGAAGTGTAAGGAGAAGTTTGAATGACTCATGAAGTCATCTTCAGATTTAAATAATAAATGAGCTTGCCTTATTAAATCACTAATTTGGAAACTAGGGTTAGACTTTTTTTTTTTTCTTAAAGCCATTCATGGTTTGATTTTGAGCAAGCCATGGTAAAGAGGAAAGACAACTTCCTGAAAGTTCCTATGGTGACAAAGGTGACAAAGTAGAAGCTGCCAGGAGCACCTGTGATTGAATACAAGTCAGTGGAGCTTTTGCTTCCTTTCCACTTTTAACTGGGAAGGATTATTTAATCTTTTTAAATTTACATATGTATATTTTTAAGGTGGAAGTAAGTCAGATACATGGCATTAATTTTTTGGGATTTAAAATTTTCTTTTAGTTTCATAGAGTCTTCAAGGAGTCCATGAACTTACTGAAATTGTATGCAGCAAGTTATCTATGTCTGCTATCCTTCCTTTTCCCAACATTCAGAATGCTTCATGACCTCAGAAAGATTGAAGGCCTTCAACTGTAATACCCTCAAGATTCCCAGTATGGTTATACCTTAAAAGCAGAATAAGTTGGGATATTTTAGTGACCAGTTTCTCTTATTTGTGGGTAGAGGTCGTGAAAACATGAAATAACTTCTCTTGAACATTAAGTACCCACTCATCCTCAGAAAAATCTTTTCAAGGTAGAAATTATGCTGATTTTTATGATGAATAAACAGAATCAAAAGATAGGTAATTTGTCCAAAGTCCTATAGCTAATGAATATAACTGGAATTAGCTTCCAAATTCATAGCCTTGATTTCTAAGCTCATGTTCTCTGTAGTTTTCTCCCAGCCTTATTTTTTTTCCCTAGAGAATGGTGTTTCCTATTTATTGCCTAATATTAACGTAAAGTTGTAATTAATCATTTACATGTTTCAGAGTAAAATAATTCTTCCCTACCCCACCCTACCTTTTTCAAAAAGACAGAAAAAGTTTACTTTTGATTAATAATTTAAATAGGTAAGTCAAGGAACTTCTAAACTAGCATAAGTGTCAACATTTCGTGTTAGGGTTATTGATAATTTCCTAAGATAATGCCCACCCACTCCCCCACATATATGTAAAAGGAGAAAATTGAAGACATAGTCTCTTAATAGATTTCTAGGTTGAGATAAGGACTTATTTGATGAATAATATTCCCATTGAGGAGGGAAATATGTAAATTCCCATAAGCAGCAGAAATCTGAAGATAATTCTTATGGATCATATGGTATGAAATTAGTCATAAAGTCATTAGTCATTTAGCCTTGATGTGGCATCTTGAAGGCTCACCATTTGCATGTTTAGTCACACATTTTCATAGTCTGCACTATTATGCATTAATTTTAATCTGCTTGGTTCAGCTGTTTGCTGCATACTTTTAGGACCAGCCAACTTTTTATAAAAGCTAACGTGATAATGGAGGCGTATAAGTCCAAGACTGTCTTTGTCTTAAGTTTGTGAGTAGTTTATAACATTCAGCAGCATAGTCCTTGACTCTGTACTGTGTGTTAGTACAGTATTTTTGTATATACTGAATTTTTATTCATACAGAAACTAATACATTAATATTTGTTCCTTTAAATTTTTGTAAGCCAATTAAGCAGATGTACTTAACACCACGTAACTTTTAGCACTGCATTGCTAAAATTACTTAACTTTGTAGAACTGATAATCTAGGTTTTAGAGAAGTAAAGATGAGAGTTTTACCCAGTACTAGGTGATAAACAGTATTTACTTTCCTCTTCCTTAACTAGTTACTTGCTATAATCAATTATCCTTTAGTTCTATCCGGAAGGTTTTTTTTTGAAATGGAGTCTCTCTCTCTCTGTTGTCCAAGCTGTAGTGCAGTGGCACAGTCTTGGCTCACTGCAACCTCTGCCTCCTGGGTTGGAGCAGTTCTCCTGCCTCAGCCTCCCGAGTAGC